AGATACTTGCTAGAAAACTTAGATCAGTCTAGAGGTTAACTGCTCGCGTGAGAGACTGATAGGTCCTGGGTTCGAGTCTCGTGAGGTGGGATCGTGGGTGCGCACTGCTGAGGAGTCCTACCAGAGGACGAAACAGTCGTCTAGTGCTTCCAGGTTTTCCATTGTGGTCTAGACTCAAATGACTCATGAATTCAATTATAAAATTACTATTATATCCACGAAACCCCCTTCTTATAATGATCATACGCTCACTAGTGACTGGCTCCATGAGGTAATTCCAGGAGTTCTAATGAGAAGTCGTGACCAGTGGAGTTATTCCATGTCAGGTAGAGGTAGCTTCAATTAACTCATGAATTCAACAATTAAAATTACTAAAATCTCTAAAATCCCCCTCCCCCTACTGATAGTAAAGGAATTGTCCATTATTAACAAAATTAGAAATAAACATTTATGCCCCACTTATCTTAACTTCCGGTAAAACTATCTTTAACAATTATCAAAACAATTAGAACATTGTTATGATTCAATGTGGATTATGGTTAGGGATATGATAAGAAAGTTAACTGTGTTGTAATTGAATTCATTCTGACTAGTGAATAACAAGTGAATTTGTGATTTGTAAATCATTTCTAATCACAAATCATATTCGGATGATAAATTATTGTCATCAGAGAACCATCATTACTGTCTCTCTCTCTCTCTCACACACACACACACTCCCTCACGCTCTTTCTTCTTGAAGTCTTGTAAATGATATGTGAGATGTGATTTGAGTTACTAGACAAATGGAATAGATGTTATCATTAACATTATTATATTGATTTGTATGTGTATTAGTGATTATGATTGAATCATTGTGTTCTCAATACAATAGATCTCATCATGGAACTCGACTTTACATAGATACATGGGTTTGGTCAGTTGGTTAATGTAAATCATCTCCATCAGTACATTCATACACACATGTACAGTCAAATTCACACACAAGTGAACTGTGTATCTTGACACATCCTGACATGATGGAAACTCATACTAGTTAACTGTTAAATAAGTAATGTGAGCATGCATGCACTCATGTCTGTGGACTCTGATTCCTCAAATGATTGATTCAAATATTGTAGTGTGTAAATGTAATGTTGAACAATTGCATTTCGATCATTTAGTAATATTGCACAAATGGATATTTTGATGAGTGCTGACTGTTAATATTATTGATTGATGAATGGAGTGTGTTTGTTGTTGTTGTTCAATGATTGTTGTGGATTAGCGTCAGTGATATTGTGAGAGGTGAACGTAGGTGTTGAATTGATGACGGTAGTTGGTTTAATGTTCACCATGATGTTAGTGAACTGATTGATAGATTTCCTTTATTGAAATGAGACTGTACAATCATAAAATGCAAATATGACCACGAATAATGAGTACAGTGAGCATTGTTTTGCCATGTGGCAATTCCACTTTAATTCATCAAATCAGTGACGAGTTTTTGTTCCAATCATTGTGACCATTGAAGGTGTTTCAATATTGTCTGATGAAGACTGCAAATTGCACTACTGGTTACACTTACATGAAGAGTGGTGAGATTTTGATAGTACACAGATCGTTAACATGGTGACAACATGGATCTGAGTGATGGAGAATATTTCAATCGAATTGTTATATAAATGATGAATAGATATACAGTTGAATATATAGATTGATAGAAGTTTATTAAAATATTAATTGTGATGTGTGTGATCAATGAGGCGTGTTCAAATCTCAGTATTTATGTATATGAATATTTGTGGAAACATTGTTATGTTTGTGTATGCATGTGTGTGTGTGATGAGAGGCATGACAATGATGAACATAGTCATCAGTAATAATCATGTAATTGTAACTAAATGAGATCAAGAATTGAATACAAACCACTCACTTATTGTTTACCTGGTCACTTTCATATCACCCTGTGTCTGTATGTGAAGGTATGCAATCAGATTGCATGTACTCAGAGAGACATTAGTGGTCTGAGATATTCAGTCATCACTATGAAATGTAACGATTTCTCTTGTTGATGGAAATCTGTGTATTTAATTCAAACATAATTGTAATTCATAATATTTTGAATATTATGCCCATCACTACTACTCCTACAACAACAACTACTCCTTCTCCTAATACTACCTCTACTACTACCATTGCTTCTTCTACTCATCCATTTCTTCTACTTGATTTAATCAATTGGAAATTATGAATGGTATTGTTTCAATTTGTAGCAATGTGTTTTTTCACTTTCCAATTGAACATATACTGTATGTAGTGAAAATGAAGCATGAATCTTCCCATGGTGACCATACAATACAATTGTCCAACTTATGATTACCGAATTCATTGTAATGATTTAATTATTGTAATGTGTGTTGTGGTATTTCATTGAGTATGTATGGACATAATGTTTGTTATTCAAAAGTGATTGTGAATGGTGATGACGATGATGATTTACAATGATCTACTTATTCAAATTCAACTTAGTATTGTTTGTTTGAATCTTCCCATCGATTTGTTAGGACTGCAACTGGTCAGTCTCTAATTGGCATATGTGCATACTGTGCGTATTGCCTCGATATACCTTAATTCACAAGCATGGTTAGCAGAGATGGATAGTGGCTAGCAGTGGAATCCAGGACGCGCGTTTCGTCGTATTTGGGACTCGTCAGCTGGATGTACCTTATTCTACTTATTCGTTGTAAATAATATTGAATTACACTAGTTTTCGATTGTAACATATCAAATGATAGGTCGTAGGTTAATCTACCATAATTATCAGATCTCTATTTCGTACCATTATATGACTGTTGAATTCATCAGCTTCTATGTATTTGTGTTTGTTGATCTATTCAGTGCATGTTCACAACCATACTCTTCGTGATTGTAAGTCGTATGATAAACATGGATTATTCATGTGATGTGACTGTGTGTTTTCATTAATATCACAAATCAATCTATGTTAATGAGCGTTGCGAACGTATTATCATTGAACATATATTTCTTTGTTGTTTGACATTCCTTAGTCGTAATATACACCGTGATCCCTGTAACGGTTAATCGAACTCAAAATTTTCGTTTCGCTTGCTAATGCTTAGTCACTCGACTGCTAGTTCTGCTTTCAGTAGTGATAATTTCTACTTTCAGTCAATCCATAATATATGATGAGTATCCTTCATTGTCTTTGCTGGATAACTTTGTAATATTCAACAGAATTGTACTCCTCCTATTATATCTTCTAACTATACTTTTGTAATTTTACTAGTGCATCAACTCACTAGTGAGCCTACCATAGTTATCATTATGTGACTGATCAATTACAGTGTTTGATAATAATAACAACAACGTAAAATCACAAACATTTACAATCAAAACCTCATACCCGTTGAACAAGTTAGTGGTTAACTGAACTCGTTATATTAGTACAAAGCGTATTAACGTTTAAACTGTTAAGTTTCTAGGTGAATATAATGTATGTGTATTCAATTTATAAGTTCTAGGTAAAACGGAACTCATATCTTTGTTTCTATTACTAATGTGTTGACTGACTCACAGTAATTATAATTTTAAACATAGATTTATGTTAGCTGAATAATTACTGTCCAAATCATCAATGGATATTTGTTTTGTCCTAGTTAGAAACAACTCATTTAGTGCATAACCATGAACCTGTCGAAAAACTGATTCCAGAGAATTTGAGTCCATCGATAAGAGAGTGTGTGAGGATTATTGACAAGTTTCTCACTAGGTTAAAATACCTACCTGTTATGTTAACTAATGTCAGTTTATGAAGGAAATCATATTTAGAAGGGGGTTTGTGGAGATTATAGTAATTTTATAGTTGAAATCATGAGTTAATTGAAGCTAGACCATCATGGAAAACCTGAAAGCTCAATTTTGTGAATTGGTTGAAGTTAGACATTAACACCGTTGGATGCCGAACGGCTCATTGCTCTAGAGGTTAAGCGCCCAGGTTCGGATCTCGTGAGGTGAGATCGTGGATGCGCACTGCTAAGGAGTCCCACAATAAGACGAAACGGCCATCCAGTACTTCCAGGTTTTCTATGATGGTCTATCTTCAATTGACTCATGATCTCAACTACAACAAAAATCATATGTGACTGATCTGTTCATCATTATAATGATAATACATTTATTAACAATTTACTAATTAATTACTTATATAATTAGTAATAAATTACCACCGACTGCCCTAACGTGCAATGTTTTATGGCCGATGTAGAAGTAGGTTGGAGGAAAGTTAGGGGCAACCAGATCAGAATGTGGCACAAATCCATGAAGTCACTGACAAGTGGACTAAACCATGTTGGTAGATGTAGAGTACTTGTTTGGGATTCGCGAGATGATAGCGATCGATAGTAAGAGACCTCGAATGACAAGGCTCAAAATCGTTTGCAATGGTGAAGATGCATCCATTCTTTGTGCTCTACCAAATTCTAATCTTCTGAATTCCTAATGTCTCTATCTTTTTCTCTTTCCAAATTTATTTCATTGTATTAGACTCCTACAATAATATCTTCAAACCCTAATCTTTTGAATTTCTGCTTATACTCTTACTACTCTTACTACTATAGGATTTAAATCGACAACTGTATCTCTATGCTAATGTGGTATGGCAACTCGAACTGATGTACGTATATACGAAGTTCTATGTTGTGACTGAGTATATTACCAATAATTCAGTGTAAAATGTAAATATTTTAGCAATTTCTTATGTAATCTATTCATACCCTTCTATTTATGATCTCACTTATAACTGTTTACTTATAATAGGACACTTAGAAAAAGATAATTTATAAATTGACCAATCAGATTGTAATGCGCAATTTCTTGTTTTCTGATTGGTTGAATTTATTAATATGGGGGTAATAATAATTAGACCATAGAAATATTTAATTTTAACTAATTAATAATATCAGCAACACATAAAAATGGAATTTAAATCACCTATGAATATGAATAATTTAACAAAAAAATATTATTCTATTGAAAATTCATCAATAAATCAATATTATAAAGAAATGGTTCCTTTAAAAGAAGGTACCCAAACTACATTACCATTATTACATAATCATATTATTGATAATAGTACTCATAATAACTTCTCTTATATAATGACAATGAATGAACAATCTAATTTGAATTCAAATTTTAAATGTGAGCAATCAATAGGACAACCTGTATATCCTTTAATAGAAAATCAATTCATATCCTCCTCCTCATTATTATCGTCATCAGCATTTACATTGGCAACATCGTCAGTAACGTCATCGTCATCTGCAGTATCAGCATCATCATCATCATCATCACTATCAATACAGATACCCATTGTAAATGAATTGAAATATTCTAATCATTTGGATTATATACAACATTTTAATTCACAAATGAAATCTCCTATGTATGATTTAAAACCTACATCAATATATCATCATCATCATAGTAACAATACTTGTGTTAATGATAATAATAAATTTTCGAAACCCCCTGATGGATCAAGTGCATTAACTTATGGATTCATAGATACAGTAAACTCTAAAAAATCAACTTTATTCATTCATAATAAACAACCTTTAATGAAAAATGATAAAATTTATAAGAATACTGAATCAAATGATATAATTCATTGTAATTCTAGTGTTGAAGAGGATGACGATGACGGTGACGAGAATGATGATGATGAAGAGGAGGATGACATCAATGATACAGTTGAAGAGAGTGAAGATGTCTCTTCTAGTAATTGTACTGACGATATTCAACATTTATGTCAAGTAAGTTAATGTTATTTCTAGCCTTGATTTATGATATAAGATAATGAAAAAATCTCTCGTCTCATGTTGAAAATTTGTTTTATTACACAACAAGGTTATTAAGTATTGTTAGCAAAGATGGATAGTGGATAGCAGTAGAATCCAGTTTGATGCGCGTTTCCTCCTATCAGGACTCAGTAGCTGAGAAGATAACGCGATGGCGTTTAAAGCGAAAGTTACTGGGTTCGAGTCCCAGAATGAACATCAACTTTGAGATACAGGTACATCCAGCTGACAAGTCCTGAATAGGACGAAACACGCGTCCTGGATTCCACTGCTAGCCACTATCCATCTTTTCTTAAAATGCTTATGAATTAAGGCAACTATTATTTTCAAGATGCTTTTGGAACGATAGTTAATTCTTTTTCAGTATTTTCTTCTGAATAATGTTTTTGCCAAAACCTTTCAATTAGCCTATTGAACAGAGATGATTAAAATCTAGAATAAAGTCCACTCTGAGTGTCTTTTCTTTTTGATAAATAGATCTTTCTATATAACTATTCAAATTGGATTGAATACCAATATCAAGAAAATAAAATTTCCTGGAGTTCTAGTGAGAAGCAGTAACCAGTGGAGTTTAACCAGGTCTGTTGTGAGGTAGTAACTCATTGAAGACATTGATAGATGTGTCGCTCAATTTCGTGGATTGGTTGAAGTTAGACATTAACACCGTCAGATGCCAACTGGCTCAGTGGTTTAGAAGTTAAGCGTTCACGCGCGAGACCGAATGTTCTGGGCTCGAGTCCCGTGTGCGAGATCATGGATGCACGGAGCTGAGGAGTTTAATACTAAAACGAAACGGCCGCACAGTGCTTCTAGGTTTTCCATGGTAGACTAGCTTTAATTAATTCACGGATTCAACTATTAAGTTACTAAAATTTCCACAAAATCCCCTTCTGATGATGTATATTTTTTCTATAACAGATCACAATAGGTTACCCATGACAACTTCGTCAAATATGGATGGTTTGGATGGTTTCAACTAAATAGATTATAGTAAATAATGATGAGACATTATATAAGACTATGAATTTATTGTTGATCCTAAGTTTTCCTAATATTCTAACAAATTGAAACTTATTTCTCAAACCATTTACAGCATATTTGTGAACGAATGAATTTTACATGATTCACTAATCATCAAATAAATTTGTGAACCGGAGCATTGATTATCAATAGTATATGTCTTACGGAAACATCAGATGTGCATCCTGTACGGATCAGATCGACAATGTCACCAAGTTTTAAGCATTCTAAAAATAGATGGATGGTAGCTAGCAGTGGAATCCAGGAAGCGCGCCTAATCCTTTTTGGGACTCGTCAGATGGATGCACCTGCCACATTCCAGGGCGATTTTATGATTGTTTCTGGATTCAGACTTAGTACCTTTTGTATTACAAAGCAAGTCAGATGGTTCTTTACAAGGATCGTTAAATAGAAAATGAACCTCAAATAATCAGTAGATAATTTTTTAAAGCTAGTTTCCATAGAGCAGAAAAAAAACTTAGTGTACTTTTTATATTCGTAGGATAGACGAATTTCTACAATGTTACTGTAAAGGTGAGTAAATCACCCTCCCACCCCCTCAAAAAATAAATAGCCTTATAAGTACTTGATATGGATGCTAACCTTATCAGGTACTCTGTCAAGCAACACCACCAGATCACGTTGGAGTAAGCTGTGCTTGGTATGTCCTATGACAATAAGTCAGCTTTGATTGCATACACTTGAACACATTGACCATTATTCATATATACATTCTCATTGCTCCAGTCTTGAACTTGTGTTCTTGACTTTGGGAGTTTTGACTAAAAAGAGATACCAGACAGTGGTGTTGTCAAACACTGAACATTATTGACTGTCTTCAATATAAGAAACGACGAACTGTTTGAATTTTTGTAAATGCCTACCATCAGAAATGGTTATCCATCTATATTTATAGCTAGGAACTAAACACCAAGACTACAATCTGAAAGAATACCAACAGTTTGAAAGAAAATGTTCTTTTCATGAATATCGGATTTAGCGGAGGATACAGTTAAGGAAATCCTTAAAACTAACTTTCAAACTAACTTTCTCTAGTCATCCATACTATTCATAAATGTGTTAATAAGAAATTTCTGCTTTTAGCCAGGTCTATATACATTTATATGCTTATTTGTTGTAGTTCTGTTTTAACCCAAAAGTGGGACTTTTCAACAATAAACACACGTGACCACATTGAGGATTGAACACTAGACCTTCAGGTCTCACAACAAGAGCTTGACCATTATGCCACTCAGATGGCATCTAATGAACAATCTGTCTCAGGCCTACAAAATCATCTGTACCCTTCAGTGATAATTATTATTTTATAGTTGTCTACAATAAATTTGATCGATGAATGTCTTTTTATACTGTTTTCTCTTTATTTTTAAGGTATGCGGTGATCGAAGCAGCGGTAAACATTATGGTCAGTATACATGTGAAGGATGTAAAAGCTTTTTTAAACGTTCTGTACGTAAATCAGCTAATTATGTATGTAGATCTGGTGGACAATGCCCAGTTGATGCACAAAGACGGAATCAATGTCAAGCATGTCGTTTATCACGTTGTTTATTAGCTGGTATGAAAAAATCTGGTAAGTTATTAATTTTAATAAATAATTTACAATAATTTGAGAACAATATATACTACTGTTTATTTATTAGTTAGTAGTATCTTGTGTTACGTATGCCTAAACACCGATTACCATGACGCACTATGCTGACTGGTATTGGCGATGGTTGGAAGAAAGTTAGGGGCGGCCAAACCAAAAAATGACATCAAAGCTTGAAGTCACTAACTTTTAGTCTGAGCCATGTTGGTAGATGCAGACTACTTGGTTGGGGTCGGCGTGACTATCGTAACCAATGGTTGAAGACTCTGGGCGACATGGCTCAGAATCAATCACAATGGCGTCGGTGTGTACACTCTTTATCTTCTCTTAAATCTTGAGATTGAAATTGCTTCATATCTGTCTTCCTTCCTATACTATATCCTTATATACAACCTTTCTTTTATATACTACCACCATTTAATTAACTACTATGAATTTTGTGTTCGTCTTGTTGTGCTAATGAGTGAGGTATGGCAACTTCGATGCACGTATGTGACTGGTCCTACGTTGTAGCTGACTGACTGACTGAGTATCTTATCTGTTCATTTCATTTCGTACTGCTAAATAGTACTAATTTGTTCACATATCAGATTTAAGAAATAACACTTTCTTATGATTATCCTTCACTCAGAGTCTCATGCTGATCTACAGAAACCACTTCCCTATTAAAATATACTTCTATGTAGTAACTATCACTGTACGGTTTTGTGGACATTACACAACTTTCATAGTTTTTTAATCACGAACTAATCTTAGTAACACAACCATCAGAATCCTGAAAATACTGGATTGCCGTTTCGTGCTAAGATAGGAATCTTCAATATTGTAGGTTCACGACCCCACCAAAGAGAACAGAACCCAGGACCACCAGTCGCGCATATGAACACTTAACTTGTAAACCACTGAGTCAGGATCTAATGGTATTAATGTCGAATTTCAGTCAATCCACGGCACTGCGCGATCATTTTTGATTGTCTTCAGTGAGTACTTTCTGGATTCACACTAATGAGAAGTCTCATGCAAGGACGAAACAACCATCCAGCAATTCCCGGTTTTCAATGATGATATGACTAGGATCACTTCATCATTCAAAACTGTCTACACATAATCCATCGTTTCCAAATTATCGGTCAGAAAGTGAGGTAAACCAATAAAGTATCCACTATTATTTAGACCTTATAACTCATGTGATTATTAAAAAAAAAAGGAATTAAAGCCAACCGTTCACCATGAATAATAAATCTCATTACGATCATAAAAGTCATTTGTGATGCAAAATTGAGCAACATGATTATAACTAGTTACTTGAAGTTAGATATTCACACCATTATATGCCGACTTAGTAGACTTAAGGGTAAGCGTTCTAATGAGAGACTGAAGATCTTGGGTTGGATTCCTAACTGCGAGGTCATAAATATGCACTGATGAGGAATCTCAGACTAAGAAGAAGCGGCCATCCAATGTATCCAAATTTTCATTGATAACCTACCTAACATCAGTCAGATTGATCTAACTTGAACTGGATAATTTTTAACATTACTTAATCAATAACTTACTGTAAGGACACATAGTTACAGTGTCATAAGGAACGATTTTTACATTGACTTAATTTCGTTATTGTTTCTTGAAACAACGATTAATTGATGAACATATTCATCTGTGATTGTTTACAATCACTCTTGTTCTTATGACACCTCATAACATATAAACATTCTATAGTAATCACACCTCATAATTGGATGCTGGCTCAGTGGACTAGTGGTTAAGCGCTCGCACGCGAGACTGATAGATCCTGGGTTCGAATCTAGTGAGGTGGGATCGTGGATGCACACTGTTGAGAAGTCTCACAATAGGACGAAACAGTCGTCCAGTGCTTCCAAGTTTTGGATGGTGGTCTAGCTTCAAATGACTCATGATTTCAACTATATTAATTACTAGAGTCTCCACAAAACCCACTTCTGATAACATGTCATAATTGCCAGAGAATAAATGAAGAGGAAACAGAGGAAGTATTAAAGATACATACTACACTGGGAACACTTCTCAAGGGTCTCAGTAATAAATTTACGGGATAGTTTTATAAATATCATATGAAAACGTGTGAATACATGTTGCTTTAATCATTTTGTTTTGAGTAAATCCAGGGTTTACGCATTTGTTATGGTTGTTTATCAACTCAATACATTACAATTAACGCCTCATTTGTTAAGTGTGTACTCGTTATTTATAGATCATGGGTTGTTCATAGTTATTTATGCAACTACGTTAAATTGTGTAATTAGGCAATGTATAACTATCAAGCTTTTTGTAATGGGTTTTACACTAGCTTCTCCCTTTTTACTAATATATGTTTCGTTCTAAATGATTATCATACATTTGATAACACTGACGTGATATTTACTGTTAATATCCGTCTACCAACTAAGTGACGGGTTAATTGCTCAGTAGTTCGTTCCGTCCTACTTCATGGCAGTGAAACATGGCCGGTAAGAGTAGAGGATATTCGTAGATTACTAGTATTCGATCATAGGTGTCTTCGAAGCATTTCTCGTATATCCTAGGACCACTGAGTAAGTAATGCACTTGTTAGGAAACGGGTACTAGGTAAGGATGGTAAATCAATCAATGAGGTATTGAAACTTCATCAGTTGAGATGGCTGTGACACGTGTTACGTATGTCCAACCACCGACTGCCCCGACGTGCAATGTTTTATGACCGATGTAGAAGAAGGTTTGAGGAAAGGTAGGGGCGGCCAGACCAAAATGTGACACGTGGACTGAGCCATGTTGGTAGGTGTAGACTACCTGGTTGGGATCCGCGATATGATAAAAATCGATGGTTAGAGACCTCGAATGACATAGCTCAAAATCGTGTGCAATGGCGAAGGTGCATCCACTCTTTGTGTTCTCCAAAATTCTAATCTTCTGAATTCTTCATGTCCCTTTCTTTTTTCTCTTTCCAAATTTATTTCACTGGATGATACTCCTTGAACAACATGTTCAAACCCTAATCATTCGGATTATTGCTTTTAATCTTACTATTTCTACCACTATGGGATTTGAATCGACAACTGTATCTCTATGCTAATGTGGTATGACAACTCGAACTGATGTATGTACGTACGAAGTTCTACGTTGTAACTGACTGACTGACTGACAGGACTTATTCACAGTGAGAGACGAAGAGAATGTATGTATAGGAAAAGTTTAAAAAAAAATCAAACTTGACTAAAATTGTTGTTTGACTAATTTTATTAATCAGAAGGGGTTTTGTGGAGATTTTAATATTTTCATAGTCAAAATCATGAGTCAATTGACGCTAGACCACTATGGAAAACCTGAAAACATTGAAGGGCCGTTTCTTCTTATTGTGGAACTCCTCAGCATTGGGTTTCCATTGTGGACGGTTGCTCAGACTTCGTGGATTATTTGAAGTTAGACATTAACACCGTTGTATGCCGATCGGCTAAGTGGTCCAGAGGTTAAATGCTCTGACGCGAGACTGGTAGGTCCTGGTTTCGAATCTCTCAAGGCGGGATCGTGGATGGGCACTGCTGAGGAGTTTCACAATGGGACAAAACGGCCATCCAGTGTTTCCAGATTTTTCATGATAGTCTAGCTTCAAATGACTCATGATTTCAACTATGAAAATAATGTTATTTACATAGATCGAAATCACCATCAATTCTTTTCTGTCATAAATTATTTGCATCTAATCAGATATTTATTTATTTATTTAAATTAGAAATAAATAACGTAAAATATTGAAACTGATTATATCATTTAGTTGCTTATCTATTTATCGATCTTTATATTCTCCCTTTCGGTATTAATCATACCTCCCCCTTATCTGTTTTTTTCTAATTATCATGCATATGGATACACAATGATAAGTGAAATAATCGATCAACAGTTTCTTTTTTCTATGTTGCTATCTCACTACTACTACTACTATACTACTACTACTACTACTACTACTACTACTACTATCACTACTACTGCTATTACTATTAGTGGTATTATTATTATCAATAATATGACAAGTTAATTATACTCTACATGGATTGTAGAGAGAAAAAAACTGAAAGGAATTCCCCTGTTTTATGTTGTTTTTTTTTACCTCATCATTACATAGTCAATTTATCATTTAAACAAAATTAGTTGTTAACTAAACCCTAATTTTTTTTCAAAAAAAAAACTATTTTTCACACGCGAATAGAATCCCTTTTTTTCGGGGTTTTTTTCTATTGATTGGGAAAGGGATATATATTTTTTAGGGGGGGGAGGGGGTGAAACCCCCCCCCTCAGTGAAATTCGAATAATCATATACAGATCATAACAATGTTATAAATGAATATTTATAACATAGGAAAAAAACAAAAACCATATTAACACGGTTACATAACTCAAAGTAGTCTTAATACAATATAGTGTAGTAAGTAGTATAGTTTTTAACGAATAAAAACCACTTGATAGATAGATAGATAGATAGATAGATAGATAGATAGATAGATAGATAGATAGATAGATAGATAGATAGATAGATAGATAGATAGATAGATATGTGTGTTTTAGTTGAATTCAATATATGAAAGAGGTTAATGGCGTTAATAATAAAACTATACCGATGAAGGGAAACAAAAATAGGAAGCATGAAACGTAATGCGGGTATAATCAGAAGTCAAAAAGACTTTTCATTCATTCAATCATTGAAACAAATAACGGTACTTAGGGATTAGAGACGATTGAATAAAAATGACACATAAAAAAAAAACGAGTGAAACAGAAAAAGAGAGTGTGTGTGAGAGAGAGAGGGGGAAATAGAATGAATGAAGGAAGAAAGTAGACATCGAGTGTGGGGGGTTGGGTGGGTGGGTGGTTGGTTGGTTGGATAAAATAACACTGATCATAAGGAAAAGTGATCTACTTGAATAGAAGTAAAATAGATGATTCACTATACTTAATCGTATTTTAGTAATCTA